CCCTGTGGAGTATGCAATGAGGTGCATACTGTGAAGGTGGGGGGGAATGGTACCGAGCCAGGATGGCATGATCAGACCATCCTGATGGCATTAGAGTGTGTTTGCATGATCAGACAGGGGAAAATCTGTCCATGGCCCATTGGAATCCGTTAGAGCTGGACTTTCCCCAGTGTCTTTTAACGCCACTTCTGTGGCAGAGCAGCACGGGTTGCTGATGACTTTGGGGTGCCTCCCAGATGTTGCTGTCTGATCGCAACCTTTGTATCATAAGAACATAAGAACATAAGAGAAGCCAATGTTGGATCAGGCCAATGGCCCATCCAGTCCAATACTCTGTCACACGGTGGCCAAAAATATCAGGTGATATCAGGAGGTCTAGCCGTGGGGCCAGGACACTAGGAGCCCTCACAATATTGGCCATCAGGCATTCGCACCTATGTAGGATCTAAAGATGCCCAGAAAAATCTCTGAACAAGTCAATCTAATAGTTCACAGTTTTGATTCCTATATTTCTATGGGAAATTTCTTCTAAGCTCAGAGATCTCACACCATCAGATTGGAAGCTTTTAGTATGGTCATGTGGGTTTTACGTGATTGGGGCTATACCACACCCAAAACAACCCTGAATATCTCAGATGTGGGTTGTATAAGACTATTTAATCTTTCTGAAACTGTTTTGGTGAGAATCTCAGAAACTGTATTTTGTCTTTTCACCTTTAGATAAGATAAGGGATGATATGCATGCATTTCTGTTTCTGATTTCTTTTAAATATGCAATAATTCTTTCATATTTCCTTATTTCAAGAATGATTGGATTGATTATAAATAAAAATCTAAAAAGATAAGCATGAGTGATCTGTAGCTGGGATACAAAGTTTTTACTTGGCATCTGAAATAAAGTGACTTCTGTTCAGTCAGAGGGTTGTAACCTATAGAGATTGAGTATTGAAGAGAATAGCCACCTCAATATAGCCCTGTGATTTAGTGATTGATACATTGCTTTGGAACAGGCAAAGAGACCCTTTGTGTCCATGTGTCCGTTTTTGTTTTTTAATATATCTGGCATATAAATATATATATATATACAATCTCATAATGCCAAGCATTTTTGTTTATTTGGATCTAAGGAAACCCTAGCAGGTATGAAAGTTCTTTCTGCTCATGAAAGGCAGAAAGGCTGTTTCTGATTTGACTCCTTCATCCAGCTGCCAATCCCATGACCCAAAGGATCCATTTTTTGGCATGTGCAGGGAGCTGCAGTTGGCAGGAGAATGCAGGATCCAAGCAATCACATGTTACTGTTTTCAACATTAATATCCATTCTAATACTAAATCATGGATTCAGTCTAGTCAAAGTAAAGCAGTTGATTTTAATGAGTGAAATTTATACTAGATCTTAATATGCCCATTCATATAGCACCTTAATACAAATGAGACTGAAATGCTGGGTCATATCTCTATGTTGTTTTGAAATAGAGCCGAGGGCCCTCAAAGGAATCTTGTTCTCATAGTTCCTGAATTGCATCATGGAGGAGGCAGTTAAATAAATCTGCAGTCAAAGTCTGTTGAGGCATTTCCCACATATTGAGGATGATGTTCACTCTATTAGTATCTATAATTCCATTAGAGAGCAGCTTTGCATTCTCACCAAATATTATTTTCATAGCTTAGAATTCTCCTGCCTGAGTCATCCAAAGGGAAGAAAGAGCTGTGATAAAGATACCAAGAGATAAAACTTCGGTCTTCTAATATTGCGCTCTTCACCTGTGCAAAAGGTCCAGAGTAGGAAATTTGGTAAGTATTAAAATTATAACAGTACCTAATTTATTAGCACTTAAATTCTATTGTTTTAGCACTAGAGTGTACACTAAGCGTTTTACCTGTTACTTTAGATTGGTGTGACCTCGTAGCTGATTGCAGATCCATTTGATTTGTAAGGTGCCCTGCTGGATAGACAGCTGAATCCAATTCTTGTCTAGAGGAAAAAACAAGAATATATTGCCCTCTAGTGTTGAGAAAATATATCTGGCATGAAAAGCATATAGGGTTTTATCTTAAAATTCAGATTTCTTACATTAGCAAAAATGCAGAGGGTTTCCCCCCCCCCCCAGAAGGGCCACATATTGATTTATTTAGCAAGCATTCATAGCTCAAATGAGTCTGTAAATCCCAAATGGTATTTGGGATGTGATAAACTCCAAAAGTTAAATTGCTGTGATTTATCATTGTCACTGGAGCCCCCAAACCAAAAATACAGCCTTACAGAGAACCACACTTAATCTGTTTTTATTTTTTGATATATTTTTATTAGAGCCTTTTCAATTTGAGATGATACAAAAGGCATCTGAAATATTAAAATTCAACATACAGTTCATATTGCTAAGAATTATTATCTTAGTTGCTAGCAGCAGGAGATTCTTACAGTACTAATACTCCATAGGTCAGTTTAGTTCAGTTCTGTTTTTATTACAACCCATAGGCCATTCAGAAACAGGGGGGAAAAACCCTTCTATAAAATTAATTACCTACATAAAATATCAGTATACATCATTCATCTTAAATAATACTTTAAGGGTTAAAATCTGAGTAGATTATACACAGGACTTTAACTTGGCCTGTATTTTTATTACAGAGAGCAGACACTTAGCCACATATACAGTAGTTCTTTGGTCAACCGTTTATGGTGCGATTTTGAGAGTCTTCTGCTCAGCAAACAGGTTTTTTTAAAATCAATCAACCCAGTAAATCCAAGTGTGCCTGTACATAAAATCTGAAATGGAAAAACATGTGGACCACTGTTTCAATAAGGTTAGCAGAAAAAAGACAGAATCTAGTACTCTATAGCTGTCATCATCAAAATGTGAGGGGCTATATTATTCTCTAGATTCCATTTTTACATTCTGGCCAATATTTGTTATTCTCTATGTCTGAGACAAAGACTTTCTCAATCTCATCCTTAGTTCACCATCTCTGACATGGAAATAAAACAGCCACTTAATATCATCATGAGAAAGGAAAACACCATGAACATAAAGAATTTTTCATATCATAAATTCTAAAACAAAGATAGTAAAATTAACAGTGACTGTTTCCTGTAGTTGATGTGTCTATCAAGGGTGGGAGGTTCTGGTTCCCAACGACCCAACCCTACAGGTGGTTGTCCCCCATGGCCTTCTGTCTTGCACTCTGCATGGCCTCAGAAACACAGAGAGAAGATGATCACCACACCTTGTCCTGTCCTTCCAAGCCTCACTCTTACAACTGCCAAAGCATTTGAATTGGCTTCCTCCTCGGCCCACAGTCTGGCTCCTGATGAAGCTGGCACAGTAAGCTGCAGTAGTTCTGTTGCCTCCCCTGGCTATTTGTGAGGAGAATGAGTCCCATGAGGGGTGATTGTGAGAGGCACAGGCTGCCAAGGTTTCCCCCTCCCTCCCCGTGCTTGGTCAAAGTCAGCCATTTTTAGAGCCAGACAAGCATTAAGGGCCTAAACTGCTGCCACTGGGCCTTGAAAAGGTCAAACTGAATGAGAGATGTTGGAAGCGAGGCTCTAGAGTCTTCTCCTTGGTGTGTCTGACCTGCTCCTTTGTTGGTTGGAGATGGGGTAAATCTGGGGTCTGTTCCTCCTCTCAGGGAGACCCATAACCCAGACATCATGCTTAGCCACATCAGTTCCATAATGTACTTGGAGAACTCAAAATGTGAGTTCAGGGTACTATGAAATGTATTACAATTACACTGACCAAAATCCAGACTTTATGCATGTAGAAGGTAGAAAGTATTATTTTTTTTCCAGAGAAGCCTGGAAACTGCTATTGATGAAGAAAGCTTAAACAGTGGCACAAGTAGTGATATTGCAAGCTAAGTGAAAAATGATCTTCATTAACAATCCACAAATCGCTGACTGAATACTTTCCTCTTAAGTTAAACAGACAGATCCGCTGTATGTGGTATAAACATTGCACTTCAGCAGCTTGAACCACAGGTTGGGACAAGCCAGTAAAAGAGATTACTGCGATATATGCAAGGAAAAAGTACATTTCCTGCCTCCCATCAATCGATCATGAAGGGAGACAGCAATTTTTGAGGACCAAGCTGGTAATCAAGGCTAGAACAATGCTAGTCTCCTACAGTGCCATACTAAACAAGTCTACCAGAATCTTACTCAGGCTTAATCCCAGGAAAGTGCTCTTAGTTCACCTGGGCTCTTAAAAGATGTGATACTGGTACCTAGAATTGAAATGTAAACTCCCCCCCCCCCGGTGAGTATAGGGTTAGTTTCCAAATACTTGATACTGAACTCAAAAAAACTGATGTTGCCTTCTAGAAATCTGGATTTTTTAAATAGAGGATCCTTTCTAGTAATACTAATGGAAATCCTGTCTTCGGCTAAGGGTTTTGCTTTTTAAATGGTCTCTTAAAGATTCCCCTCAACCTATATTTTGCCTTTATTCTGTAGTCCTTGCAAGAAACCTTTACTAACAGGTTGAAAGTGTCTTAACATAAAATTAATATTGTGAGTATTTGGGGGGAAATTAATTGGGGAAATAGCTTTAAATTATCAGTATTTCCCCCCTCATATAAATTGGAGCAGGAAGGCATTCTACTGTCATCTTCCACACTGAAATCAATAGAACTCTCATGCTTAGGATTTTTATAGAAGTGACTAGCTTATTTAATTAACATATTTTAATTGCTGTATGGATTTTCTTAACCTACTCTAATTTCTCACTTTGTTTCAGATAATGTTAAGTGTCTCCTCTATTGATTATTGGCAACTGGTGTGCTCAGAGAAGACTGCTTCCAATATAGATTTTCAGCTCTGTGGACTTCCAACTCTAGGAGTTTCATAGTCTTGCCCACCTCCTTTATAAATGTATTGCAATGGTCACATGAATATTCCAAGCGTGGTATGGATCCCATCTCTTGGTCTGTTTATAATGGCACTTTAGAAGGAAAAAGCCAACTGTTTTTTAAAAAATAAAATTGAAGTGCTGCAAAAAATGAATTTGATTCTGAAACTTCGTAGAAGTTTCCGAACACTAGTAATCCTCCTAGCCACCTTTTGTTTGGTGAGCATAGTCATTTCTGCCTATTACTTGTATGCAGGTCACAAGCAAGAAATTACCCTAATTGATACCACAGGAGGGGCGGAGTGTGAGGACCTTAAGCTTTTACCATACAGATCCATGGAACTTAAAACTGCTAAGCCGATTGATCCATCTAGGACTGACCCTACTGTGCTGTTGTTTGTTGAAAGCCAGTACTCTCAGCTCGGTCAGGACATCATAGCCATTCTGGAGTCTAGTCGATTTCAGTATCAGATGGTGATTGCATCCGGAAAAGGGGACATACCTCCTCTGGCAGATAATGGCAAAGGGAAATATATACTTGTAATATATGAAAATATTTTGAAGTACACATCCATGGATTCATGGAATAGAGAACTTCTGGAAAAATACTGTGTGGAATACAGTGTTAGCATAATTGGTTTTCATAAAGCCAATGAGAACAGCTTGTCAAGCACTAGACTCAAAGGATTTCCATTGCATCTTTACAATAATGTAGTACTTCAAAACTGCTTTGTAAATCCCCTGTCTCCTCTACTGCACATTACCAAAGCCCCACGGGTTGAGAAAGGCCCGCTACCTGGTGAAGACTGGACCGTTTTCCAATATAATCACTCCACTTACCAACCAGTGCTTTTAACAGAACTTCAGGCTTCCAAACCATTCCCAGCATCACTGCCTAAGATTTCTCTCTATGCTACAGTGATTCAGGACCTGGGCCTTCATGATGGGATTCAGAGAGTCCTTTTTGGAAACAACTTGAACTTTTGGTTGCATAAACTTATTTTTATAGATGCCATCTCCTTCTTGTCAGGGAAGATGCTCACATTGTCCCTGGACAGGTACATTCTTGTTGACATTGATGACATCTTTGTTGGGAAGGAAGGAACAAGGATGAATGTAAAAGATGTGAAGGTAAGATGAGAATTAATGCTGAGATCTTGTCTCTAGCATGTGTTTTGGCAATACAAAGTGTCAGAGGCATGCATATCTCATTGCAGTGTATCATCCTACATATCATAAATGTCCACCACAGATTAAATTGTTTAAGGATGGGGGCTAGGCTTTTAGAGATGCATAGGGACCCAGTGATTTTACTACATCCTGCTCTCAAGCTGCTTAGATGTGTCCAAGGAAAAAGTGCCTGGTTTGCGTGTTTATAGTCACATGTTGGAAAACATAATGCTGGTTGCCAGCTTCTGTCTGGACTGCTTGCCACAGTCACTGATAAAAAATGAAATAGCCACTATACACTATTTGTCACTATTACACCATTACACTATTTCTACCATTAAGCAATAATCCTAGTGGCATTGTATAAGAGAACTAATTGGCATACTTCACTGATAATAAATTACAGTACTTCTTGTCACAATTGCACTTCACCCTAGTGCTTCCAATTTTGAAAATCCCATCATTAAAATGAAACCATTCTGTTTGAATTTAGACTTACCATTTAGATGTCTCTGTGTGCTTCTAGTTTCTGCTTCCTAGGGGTTTCCTAGAAGCAGCTGTTCAGTCACTGTGTGAACAGAATGCTGGACTAGATCAGCCTTTGATCTGATTCAGCATGGCTCTTCTTATGTTCTTATACTTGCCTCTCTGATTAGTGATGTCATGGAATTATAACTCCACAGAGTTCCACCCCCCTAATTTCAACCAATTAGTACTATTACACTATGCCACCAAGGTTATTACCTAATGGTAGAAAACCATGTAATAAAAGCAATTCTGAACTTTTTAAAAAAATGACAACCACATTGGAACATCATGAACCGAAGAGGCAACGTCATGTCCATGCCAAATAAGCAACTTTCACAGGCTTCAAAAGCTGCTTGACACTCAATCCACAAGGACTGTCAAGGAGATCTAGTCTGTTTGACGGAGCCAAGTAAGGTAAGTTCACCTGGTGATCATGTCTCTGTCAAATTTTGCAGTATCCCTAACTGTATTAACTCCTTCCAGGAGTTTCTAAGCTCTCAAACTTCAGCAGGCAAACTTCCCTCTCCCTTTTTAAACTTGACTTTCAATCTCAACATTCTGTGTCTCCTGAGGCACAATCAGTCCTCATCATGTTCACTCTTTGGGGAATTTTTCTTCCTATACTGTTTAATTTAGAATGCCCTATTTTTCTGCCTACCTGGGGAAGTCAACTGATTCAATTTCTTACCTTGTCTGTGGGTGGCCTGGTTTCGCTATTTCCATGATTGGCATGAGCTACCCACTTTAGTATTGGATATAAAGATTTCTTTGTCCCATCCTTTCTTCAAGTTTCCCAGCAGGATATGACACTTCCCATATTTTATCTTTGCAGGTCTTATGAAGCAGGTTAAACTGAGTAATTCTGTCCCCCACCCTTCTGTAGGCCTCATAGACAAGCAAGATCTCGCATTTCCCTTGCTTCTAGTCTAACATTCAATTCACTCTACATTACTGACTTCCAGTCTTTGTGTTTGTACCAGGGTTCATTTCATAGAAAAAGAGGTGCAGGAGCTCATTAGCATAACTCATTAGCATATGCCACACCCCTGACAACACCCGAAGTGTGTCAGAAGGCAACGCCCACTGCTCAGGCTCCACTGGACTATTTTGGATTGCTAGCTATGGGGGGGGGTGCAAATCTGTCCTGGCAGAGGAGGGAGAGCTTGTACCTGAATAAAACTTGGTCTTAAAGGTACCACTGGACTGTTTTGGACCAGGGGGCTGGGGGGAGCTCTGCAACTTACCTGGCTGCTTCTTGCTCTGACTGAGGGCTGCTGGGAGCAGGGGGTGGGGCTTGTTGCATGTGCCCGCCCCCTGGGCTCTTTACTGCCAGAGCTCTGCTCCTGTGCGCTCCTGCAGGAAATGACCCCTGGTTTGTACTCAGATATAGATATCTGGATTAATTTTTAAGTGGCAGTTGTTTTTTAATACATATATAATAGGGTAGTTGAGTGAGACGGGAAGAGTTGATAAAGGAAACTACTGTGTTTGCTAGTGTCATGTGACTTTAGCAGTTGTCCACCCACCAGATTGGTAGATGGATGGTTTTGTAGCTCAGCATAACACCAGAAGAGTGACAGACCACAAACACAGAAAATGAATGAATGACAGAGTAGAACACCAAAAAGAATAAAGAGCCTTGAACACCAATGAATTCTGACCAGTACAGATTTATGGAAGGCACCTGAAAAAGCAACCTTGCAGAAGTTCAGAAGGTCTGTATTCGGTATGTCCAAGTTGCAGACATTCTGGAATTACTATGTACACTTAAGTCCCATGATAGAAGAAACACGGGATATAAATATAAGCCATCAGTTAATAATTCTCTGGTCGGCCATCAGAAAACATAATGAAGCATTATGACTTGTGTTTATACATACAGCTTGCCTCCTAAAATTGAGCTGCTAACATTAAAAATGTAATTTTAGATAGAATTCCAAGAGATCCTCAAGAGAAGAGGCCAAACAAATTTAAGTATAGATTAAAGATGTTACTCATAAATTAATAGCACTAGCAGTATAACTAATTAACTCTTCCCTAGCATAGATTCAGGTGGGTGGCCATGTTGGTCTGAAGTAGCAGAACAAAGAACAAGTCCAGTGGCACCTTTAAGACCAACAACTTTATTCAAAGTGTAAGCTTTCACGTAAGCTTATGAAAGTTTATACCTTGAATAAACCTTTGTTGGTGTTAAAGGGGCCATTGGACTCAAACTTTGTTCTTCCTTAACAATTATCTTAAAGTTTCCAAATTTCAGATGAGAGCAAGCTAGGGATCCCAAGTCCTCCTGGCACTGCCGGATCGGGCCCCGGGGGAACTCCTCCCTGACGTGCGCGTCACCCGCAAGTGACGCGGGCATGCCGGGCACGCTGGGGGCGGGGCCACGGCCATACAAGGGAAAACTCTATGGTTTTCCCTTGTATGGTCATGGCCCCGCCCCCAGCATGCCCGGCATCATAACGTCACTTCCTGGTGACGTATGTGTGGCGCACGCGCCGCCAAGGTAAGTTCCACATGGAGTCCCCCGCCGCCAAGGTAAGTTCCACATGGCAACCCTACAGCAAGTACCAAAGACATTCCTCTCCATTTCAGAATGATTGTCTTTGTATGGGAGAGTGTTGCCCAGAAAGTGCAGAAATTATTCTCTGTTCCATCAAAACCCTGTGCTTGTACAAACCTCTGTGAGGCATATAACAGCAACAGTGGTAAACAGCAGGACATTGTTTTGACAGCAAAAATATATATCCCTAGTTACATACAATATTGTATAGCATATCTTACTGTAACTCCTGCTTTACATCTCAATTATAACCATGTTTACTTGGAAATAGATCTAATTATTTCAGTGGAATTTGCTTCTAAGTAAGTGAGTTTACAGTTACAATCTTAAAATCCATCCCCACAAGTTAACATTCTATACCAGAAAGTAAGAAATAAACTTTGGGATTCCTATTGCTCGAAGCTGGATCTAATCA